AGATGATCCTGGTCCTGGGAGCAGTTCCCACCTCCATAACATCTGGACATGTGCCAAGCTGCTGAGCTGGCGACACCTGGGCCATTTCTACAGTGAGGAAACATCCCTGGAAGTGCTCAAGGCCGGCTTGAAGAGAGCTCAGAGCACTTTTAACATCCATCTCAGAATTCCATGAGTCTGTGACCTGCAGTGCTGCAAGCCTCTGCCCAGAGGTGATATTTATTTATTTATCCATCTCCTGGAGCGTGTCAGTCGAGCCTTGAGAGCCCTGGCCAAGGAGCACTTGTGAAGCTCAAGCCAAATGCAGTGTTTGATCCACCCCTGCTGGGCTGAGGTGCAGGGATTCCTTTTTTTCCCTGGAAAACCCCTGGCTGGGATGGGGCCAGCTGGAAAAGGTTCCCCAGCTGGAAGGAAGAGGACAGGGATGGGTTGTTTTGGGTGGGGGAAGCAAAATGTGAAGGGCACAGGATGTGCAGGGCACAGCCTGCAGCAGAGGTGGAGCTGCAGCAGCAGGGGAAACTCAAACTCTGCTTTGAAGTTGGTGTGAAACAGAAAAGCAGAAGGAGCTGGTGTTGACTGCTGGGTGTTCCACACGGCTGGGGATGTTTTCAGAGCAGCCTTAAGGGATGTTTTGGGGACAGGCTGCCTCCATCCACCCCTTTACAGAAGGACTTTAACCCATTTCTCTGCAGCAAGGGCTCAGGTTGGAGCTCAGCACTGATTCCCCCTCCTCTTTCCACTCTGCTTCCATGGAAGCCACTCAGAGTCCTTGAAAAGTGAGGTAACACAGAGCTGCCTTTCTGCCCTTGGGGAGGGGAGGTTACAGGAAAAGGCAGCACAAAGGGTTAACCCAGGGCTGCTTGCAAGAGAGAAGCAGCTTCCTGCCTTGTGGTGGCGGCTGCTGGAGGATGTGGGTGACAGACACTGTGTGCAACGACAGTTTGGGTACAGGCTGGGGGGTGCTGGGGCTGAGCACACGCACTGGGGTGGCCTGAGGGGCAGAGACCCCACTGAGCCCACCCTGGGGTGATTCCAGGGGCAGAAACCCCTCTAAACCCACCCCAGGGTGATCCCAGGGGCAGAGACCCTGCTACACCCACACTGGGGTGATCCTAGGGGCAGAGACCCCACTGAGCCCACCCCAGGGTGGAGACCCCACTGAGCTCACTCCAAAGTGATCCAAGGGGCAGAGACCCTGCTAAACCCACCCTGGGGTAGCCCGAGGGGCAGAGACCCCACTGAGCCCACCCTGGGGAGATCCAAAAGGCAGAGACCTCACTAAGCCCACCCCAGAGTGACCCAAGGGTCAGAGACCCCACTGACCTCACTCCAAGGTGACCCAAAGGGCAGAGACCCCACTGAGCCCACCCCAAGGTGACCCAAGGGGCAGAGACTCTGCTAAACCCACCCTAGAGTGACCCAAGGGGCAGAGACCCTGCTGAGCCAATTCAAGGTGAGCTCAGAGACCCCACTAAGCCCATCCCAGGGTGAGCCAAAGGGCAGAAACCCCACTAAACCCACCCCAAGGTGACCTCAGAGGCAGAGACCTCACTAAGCCCACCCCAGGGTGGAGACCCCACTGAGCCCACCCCAGGGTCAGAGCCCACCCCATGGGGCCATGACTCAGCCCCTGCAGGGTGACCTTTGCTGGCCCCTTCCCTTTTTGGGTGGCCACTTCCCCAATTGGAGGGGGTGGATGTTCCTTGCTCGGCGCTCGGGCACGTCGCTGCTCTGTGGCTGTGACCGCAGTGACGCCGTGTGGGACGAGCTGGGGGAGGATCACTGGGGCCCCATCTCTAAGGCCAGCCCGCTCCCCATCCCTCCCAACCCACCCTGAGCCCCGTTTGTGCAGAATTCCTCCTGCCAGGTCGGTTCCTCTGGCCAGCTCCCCTCCCTCAGCACCTCACCTGTCTCAGGTAGAGCTTCAGGACGTTGCTGATGTCGTGAGGGGAGGCCTGGGACAGCTCCACCAGCTCCTTCCCGTTCTCAAAGGCCTGGCAAAGCTTCTCCACACGTGTCTTGACACCGTTAACTCGGTAGATGCCCTGTGAAAGAGAGAAAAATGAAGCTGAAGTGAGGGGAGAGGTTCCTCTGCATGTTTGCATGGGACAGTGAGCTGTGTGTGCTCCCACCCTCTCCTTTTGGAGTGGGAAATCCCTTTGGGAAGTCATTTTGGGATATCTCCTTCCAGCTCACTCATTCCTGCCTCATAGGAAAGCGGGAGAGGTGATTTTCCAAAAGCAGAGCTTGGGGGATCTGGGCCAAGATCATCCCTGGCTCCCTGCCCTGTGGAAATCTGAAATTTTCAGGCTGTTGGTTTTCCAGAGGATCCTTCCAAGGGCCTGTGGCTCAGCCAGCTGAGGAGGAGGAGGAGGAGGAGGAGGAGGAGAGGGGAGTGTCACTCACCTTTGTTTTCAGGGCCCTCTTCTCAATCTCTGAGATGCACTTCTTGACGATGAAGGGGATCCCATCCGAGCTGCCCTGAGACGCCTTCGTGAAGTCCTGCCCGAAGAGCTGCAGCTTCCCTTGGAGCTTCTTGTGCCCACACTGGATGGCCAAGGTCTCCAGGCACTTCTTGTGGCAGGCCAGGTAGCACTGGAAGAGAAAAGGGAACACGTGGAGGTTGGGGGCCAGCCACAGAGACACCAAGCACTGCTCAGAGGATGGAGAGAGAAACAGGAAAAATAAAAAAAAAACCCTGGGGATGCTGCAGCACTAAAGGAAAGCACCATTTTCCAGCTGGAACCCTCCCCAGAGGAGAAATATCCTCCTGACCATGGTCAGAGCTGGGTTCCAAGCCCAGCTGTCCCAACCCACCTCCTCACACTCGGCTCCCTGGAAGTACACGTAGCTGTTGCACTCCCGACACTTGGAGGGGGCTCGGAGCTTCCTGAGCCGATGGGTCTGGGCAGCCTTGGACAAACCAACGTTCCTGAAGGGCCCCGTGGGAGCTGCCAGCTCTGGGGTGATCCCATTGATGCCTAGGGGAAAGGAAATGTAGGTAAAGCACAGCTTGAGCAGGACTGTCACTGTCACTGCTCTGAGCAGGGCTCATCCCTCAGGGCTGGGAACACTGTCATACACACATCTTTTCATTAAAAATCATTTTCTTAGGATTTTTACTTCTGAGAAGCTGAGAGGCCTCAGGAACAAAATGTAAACAATGATTATCTGCTGCCGTGGAATGCAACAGGAGCATCTGTGATTGGTCTCATGTGGATGTTTGGAATTAATGGCCAATCAGCAGAGCTGGCTTAGACAAAGAGTCTGAGGCAGCTGCCTTTGTTATCATTCTTGACTTTTCTATTCTTAGCTTAGCTAGCCTTCTGAGATGAAATTTTCCTTCTATTCTTTTAGTGTAGATTTAATGTAATATATATCATAAAATAATAAATCAAGCCTTCTGAATTATAAAGTCAAATTCTCGTCTCTTCCCTCAACCCCTGTGACCACCGTCACAGGACACCATCAAGGAATCCCCAGAAATTGCTGGGTTTGCCTGCAGAACTGCTGAATTTGAGAAAAGCAGCCCGTGGGGAGCTCTGTTGTGGTGGGCAGCACTGCCACCTCCCAGAAAAGGCGACCCAGGTGTCACCTACTCTGCTCAAAGGGGGTGCTGGTCCCGTCCTTCTCCTGCAGCTCCTCGCTGGAGGACGCGGTGCCGTTGGAGGAGAGCCTCTGGAGCTTGTGGCTGAATTCACCTGCCCAAGGAGAACCCACAGAGCAGTGAACCCCCTGCAAAGCTGCTTCTCTCCTGAGAGCTCACCCCAGCCCATCAAATCCCACCCTCTCCCACTGGAGACTGGGGTCAGCAGTGTTCTCACAGGGCAGGTAAAACAGGGGATGCTCCTGCCTAACTGGGAAGCTCTGGGTTTGGACTGGTTGTGCTGGGAGGGGCTCCTGGGCTGTTCCCATATCTACCTGCATTGGAATCCAGGCTGCTGTCAGCCTCAGCCACAGAGGTTGGCCAGGATTTATGCACCTGGTGTCCCCTCCCACCTGCAGAGAGAACACACAGTGCCTTGGGATTGCTGTGAGGGAACGGCTGGAGAACAGCCTGGATGCTGGGGGAAACTGGGGGAAGCTGCTGGTGGGGTTTGGTGCTTCCAGGGACACCCAGCAAGGAAAGGGGAGATGGGAAGATGATGGGAAGATGGGCAGGGGTTTCTTAGGGAGCAAAATGCCACAGATCTGATTTAGTGTCCTTCAGGAGGAGGCTCCCAGCCCGTCCTCCTGCTGCCAGCAAAGCCCCTCACCAAACCCTGAGGTTTCCACTCTGCTCCTGCCTGGGGGGACATGGGAGAGCTCTGGGGCTCCGCACTCACCTCTTCTCTCAGCTGCTCCAGCCCCACTTGGCGACTCCTTGGCTGCTGCTGCTCCCTCTGAGGCAGCCCCAGCCCCCTCTGCACTCGTGGAGAACTCACTGGCACTGAAGCTGCCCTTCTGTGGCTGAGTAAAGGGAGACCTGGAGGGGAAAAGGGAACGTGGATGGGAGGAAAGGACACTTGGAGACTTCATCCATGGCTGCCATCCACCAGTCTAAGGAATCAGTTTCTTAAATACTCAACTAGGCTGAATTTAAGGATAAGAAGGCAATTCCCAACACGTCAGCCCAGCTGAGTAAAGAGAGACCTGGAGGGGAAAAGGGAATGTGGATGGAAGGAAAGGACACTTGGAGACTTTATCCATGGCTGCCATCCACCAGTTTAGGGAATCACAGTCTCTTAAATATTCAACAGGCTGAATTGAAGGATAAGAGCAATTCCCAGCTGAGTTAAAGAGAGACCTGGAGGGGAAAAGGGAATGTGGATGGGAGGGAAGGACACTTGGAGACTTTATCCATGGCTGCCATCCACAGTCTAGGGAATCACAGTCTCTTAAATACTCAACAGGCTGAATTTAAGGATAAGAGGGCAATTCCCAACATGTCAGGCCAGCTGAGTAAAGGGAGACCTGGAGGGGAAAAGGGAACGTGGATGGGAGGGAAGGAAGGAAGGACTCTTGGAGACTTTATCCATGGCTGCCATCCACAGTCTCTTAAATCACAGCCTCATCTGGACTGAACTGAAGGATAAGAGAGCAATTCGAACTGGTCCAGCCCTGGCAGGATCCGCCTTCAGGAATGCTGAAAGCATCCTGCCTCCTGCAGGACAGCGTGGGCGGCAGGAGATAACGAGGGGAACAGCAGGGCAGAACTGAATGAGGCAGGAATGAGCCCTGTCCTCCCTCACCAGGCGTTGTGGGACACGTAGGGCTCGAAGTCGTACTGCACGTCGGGCTCGTCGCCGCGCTGCAGCTGCCGCACGTGGGACGCGTACTGCTGGCCTGGGTCGTAGAGCTTGCTGCTCTCACACAGCGTCTGGAAATTCACTGGCAGCGCCGCTGTCTGCATGTGCATCAGCTGGTAGAAGGAGATGGTGGCCTAAAAGTGACATGGAGAGGGATAGATGTGGGCTTGGTGGGCTGGCAGGTGGGAAATCGGGAGCACAAAGCGGCGCTGCTCTGAGTATGAGGGAGAGGGGAGTTCTGCATCCGTCCAAATGCCCTCTGGAAAAGGGGCAGCTCTGAGCTCTCCAGAGCACCTCCCACCTCTCACACACATCTTTTCATTAAAAATCCTTTCTCAGGATTTTTCCTCCTGAGAAGCTGAGAGGCTGCAGGAACAAAATGTAAACAGTGGTTATCTGCTGCTGTGGAATGCAACAGGTGCATCTGTGATTGGTCTCATGTGGTTGTTTCTAATTAATGGCCAATCACAGTCAGCTGGCTCAGACTGTCTGACACAAGCCTTTATCATTCTTTTCTTTTCTATTCTTAGCCAGCCTTCTGATGAAATCCTTTCTTCTATTCTTTTAGTACAGTTTTAATATAATATATATCATAAAATAATAAATCAAGCCTTCTGAAACAAAGAGTCAGATCCTCATCTCTTCCCTCATCCTCGGGCCCCTGTGAATACTGTCACCTCCCACCCTGGGGACACCCCACTCACCGATTTGATGACCTGGTCAGTCTGTTTGATCACTTCATGGATCTGGCGCAGCGAGTTCACCTTGGTGTCCTCCAGCTCCTGCTTCTGCGTGTTTGCATCGGCCACGCAGGTGCGGTACGTGGCCATGGCCTCGTCTGCCTGGGAGTTGGGAGAGCAAGGCATGGGAACAGCTCAGAGGTGAGGAGAATCAGAACAGCCCCTTGGATCCTGTCCATCCAGCCATTCCTACATTTCACCCCATGTGGCCCAGGGGACAGCAGGAGCAAGGAGTCCCCTCCAGGGCTGTCACCTGTCACAGACATCTTTTATGAAAAATCCTTTCCTTAGGATTTTTTCTCCTGAGAAGCTGAGAGGCCTCAGGTACAAAATGTAAACAATGATTATCTGCTGCTGTGGAATGCAGCAGGTGGATCTTTGATTGGCCCATGTTAGTTGTTTCTAATTAATGGCCAATCACAGTCAGCTGGCTTGGACTCTCTGTCTGAGCCACAAGCCTTTGTTATCATTCTTTCTTATTCTATTCTTAGCCAGCCTTCTGATGAAACTTTTTCTTCTATTCTTTTAGTATAGTTTGAACATAACATATATCATAAAAGAATAAACCAAGCCCTCTGAAACGTGGATTCACATCTTTGTCTCTTCCCTCATCCAAGAACCCCTGTGAACACGGTCACAGCCACCCTGCTCCTACCTTGTTCTTGGCTTCCTCTTCCAGCCGCCTTTTCTTGTCCAGGGTTTTGGTGGTGGTGCTGCTGGTCGCGTTTTGCTGCTCCTCCTCTGCTTTCACCGCCATGTACTTGGCCTTGTCGTGCTCCTCGCTGCGCTGCATGTACGTCTGCTTGGCCTTGCGCAGGTTCCCCTCTGCCTCTTGCTGCCAGGGAGAGCCAGCGTGAGGATGGAGCCCAGCGAGGGGGTCACCAGCTCCTACCAGGCTCCCCCAGCACAGCAAGGGGGGCACCAGCTCCTACCAGGCTCCACCAGCACAATGAGGGGGTCACCAGCCCACACCAGGCTCCACCAGCACAGCGAGGGGTTCACCAGCCCACACCAGCCTTCCCCAGCACAGCAAGGGGGTCACCAGCCCCTACCAGGCTCCACTAGCACAATGAGGGGGTCACCAGCCCCTACCAGGCTCCACCAGCACAATGAGGGGGTCACCAGCCCACACCAGGCTCGCCAAGCACAGCAGAGGCCACCCAACACTGCTGGAGAAGGGCAAGGTGCCCAGTGCCCTCAGAGGAGGTTGTTCCCTGTCAGGACCCAGGACATCCCTCTGGATGTCCTGAGCAACCAAGACCCTGCCAGGGGGCTCAGAGACCCTGGCACAGAGCTCAAAACATCTGTGGGTTTGATTATTACCAACCTTATATGAAGATCTGCAAGCCACAACAGTTTAGGTAGAATATTAGTGAAGTTATCACAGGGTGGAAAAGGAGATTTTAGGGTTTTTGGTATGGGAGTTCAGGGGGGCAAGATGGAGGGAACTGGGTGTGTCCAGCCTTTCTCCTTTTCTTCTTGGCCTCCATCTTCTGCTGTGATGGTGGCACTTTAAGTTTGGTTTAGAGTAGAAGCTCACTGTCTAACATAGGTGATAGGTATTGGAAAGTAATTGTAAATATTGTATAAGTAGTTTTTAGTATAAAGACTGCCCTGGGGGCAGGCAGAGTTCCTGGACTGTCTTGCTGGGCTGACCTCGGCAGGGCAGGAGAAAATTTTTTATAGATAAGAAACAATAAACAACCTTGAGACCGAGAAATGAAGAGCCCTGACTCCTTCAGGCTGAGAAAAGAGAATTTGAAACTTTTCTTGGGGTCACTGTGACCAGCTGGAGACCCCAACAGCTCCTCAGAGCCATGAGTTGCTCCAGGCTGGGACTGGGAACACAAACCCAGTCACTCACCAGTTTCCTCTGAGCCCGGTGCCACTGCTCCTTGATCTCCTTCCTGCGTTTCTCATGTTCCAGGCGTCTCACCATCAGTGGCTGTGTGGGGAGAGAGGGAGGAACAGCCCCATGATGGCCTGAGCTGAGCACTCCGGCTCTGCCCTCACCAAGATTTTGGGTGGAGAAGCGTCACTGTCACTCCCAGAACAGCTCACAGGCACTGCTTTGTGCCAGGGGTGAAAATCTACAGTTCTGGATGCAGGATCCCTCTGGATTGAGTTTAAGAAGCAACACCAGGACCTCCAGCCCCAGGAAGGACCTCCTGTCCCCTCACCTGAAGGAAGGTTTGCTGCTGCAGGGTGGTGGCTGCCTGCACCATGGAGGCCCCGTGCTCCATGTCCTGCTCCAGGGCCAGCAGATAGATGGACAGGAAAGGCATGCTGGTCTGAGGAGAAGGAAAACACATCTCCCTGAGCCCCAGAGCCCAGAGTGAGCCCAAGGAGATGCACCCCTCAGGGAGGAAGAGCCAGAGGCAAGGTAAGGCTGGTGACCGCTGGCAAAAGCCCCATCCTGAATTTCTCCAGCTCCAAAGAGCTGCCCCCATGTCCTCCTGAGCTGGGGCACATGGAATGGGCTCTCCAGGGCTGCTGGCTCCCAATCCTGCCTGGCACTGGGGGCTTCAGGGATTTGGGGACTCACCTCCTGGCTGATGGTTTGCTTGCAGCTGTTTGCCATCTTCTGGAGCCCTCTGGCAAAATCTATCTCTGGAAGGAAAAGGTTAAAAGTGAAGAGACACACGAGACACTGGGATTTCCCTGGTGGAACCCGATCTCCTTTTGAAAAATCAGATCAGGAATTTGAGAAGTGAGGTTCCCACTGCCCTGGCAGCATCACCCTCCTCCAGGAGGGACCTCAACCTCAACCTCAGCCTGTCCCATGGCTCAGACCTGCTCCAGAAGGGACCCACCTGCTGTCCACCACTCACCCAGTACGTTCCTTTTCTCCATGTATCCCATCAGGTCCTTCATGTACTTGGAGATGGTTTTGGCGTACTGGAGGGCAGCATCCACGCCCCCCTCGCAGCGCTGCAGCATCACATCCACCTCCTCAGCAGCAGGACAGGCTGTGGAGGGACAAACAGACAAACACCCCATGAGCTCCCATTGCAAACACCCCCAGCCCTGTGCCACCAACTCTGCTGCCTTTCCCCCAGCTGAGCAGTGAACCAGGACAGCAGCGATGATGAGGAAGGTGCTGCTTCCTGCCCAGACCCCAAACCCTGCACCCAGCCCCATGCTGCTTACCTGTGGCACAGCTGTCCGTGCCTGAGGGCACTCCATCTCCTCTGGGCCCAGGAATCCCCCCATAGAGGCTCTCCATGGTCTTTGGGAATTGGGAGACAAGAGGGATTGGTCAGGCAAGAGGATGGGGAGCAGCTGGAGGGGCTGGCCAGGTGGGTGGGAGCCTGAGCTGCTGGAGCCTTTTTGCCACTGCTGGAAGTCAGCTGTGCCCAGGGGCTAATGGCACTGTCACCCTGCTCTGGGCTCACAGCAGAGCTGAGGGGAGCAGCCAGAGCCCTCTGTGAGCCCCACATGGCATCCAGGACTCCAGGCATCCCTCACCTGGTTCTGGTCGCTGGGTGGAATGGAGAGGATGGTGCTGCTGTCCACCTCCCCCATGAGGAACTCAGACACCCTGTGGGGAGAGGAGCATGGCTGGACTCAGCACAGTGACACGGGCTGGCTGCCCAAACTGCTTTACAAACTGCCAAACATCCCTTGGCTGCTCCAGGGAATGGCTGCCCAAACTTCCAAACTCCCAAACATCCCCTGGAGCTGCCCAAACTCCCTTTCCCAAACTCCTTTACAAACTGCCAAACATCCCTTGGCTGCTCCAGGGAATGGCTGCCCAAACTTCCAAACTCCCAAACATCCCCTGGAGCTGCCCAAACTCCCTTTCCCAAACTCCCAAACACCCCCTGGCTGCTCCCTGTCCAACTCCCTTACGTGCTGCTGAAGGACACAGCGATGGTCTCCACAGCCTTCTCGAACTCCCTCTTGTCTGCCTCATTGTTGGATTCATAGTGGAAACCTGGAGGTGAGGAAATGTGACAGCCCTGTTGCCACAAGCACCCGTCCCTGTCTCAGCAGAAAGACAAAGTGCCAGCTCATGCTGGTATCAGGGAGGGTTTTGGGGCTGGGGTGAATCAGGGGAGCAGAGGAAAGGATCATCCCCATGGACAATGGATTTTTCCAGCACAGCAGTTTCCCCCTCCTTCTTCCAGGACTGAAGTCCCTGACAGCATCCCTTGGCTCATGTTCCTGTTTATTCCTGTTACTCAGGGCTGCTGGAAAAGTGCTGCTGGACGTGTTCCACTGCCTGCCCTGCCTCATGGCTCCTCCAGACCCCTCTCCAAGCAGGATGAGCTCCTCCAGGAGGGCTCTTGCCCGCGGCTAAATGAGGAACCACCACCAGCAGCAGCAGGAACTGGGGCTGAGAGCACTTGGCAGGCTCCCATACCACGGGACAGCAGCAACCAGGGCTGCTGGGCAGACCCGGCTCAGCTCCTTGGGGTGGGGAGGGTCTGCTCCAAGGCCATTCCCTCCCATCTCTGTGTGGAACCAGCCCTGATGCCATCCTGTCCCCTGTGGTTGCTGTTGGGTGACTCAGAAGGTTGTGCCTCAGTTTCCCCAGGTGGGGATCTGTAGCCATGAAAATTTCTGAAAAATCCTTTCCTTAGGTCCCCTGTGGCTGCTGTTGGGTGACTCACAAGGTTGTGCCTCAGTTTCCCCAGGTGGGGATCTGTAGCCATGAAAATTTCTGAAAAATCCTTTCCTTAGGTCCCCTGTGGCTGCTGTTGGGTGACTCACAAGGTTGTGCCTCAGTTTCCCCAGGTGGGGATCTGTAGCCATGAAAATTTCTGAAAAATCCTTTCCTTAGGATTTTTCCTCCTGAGAAGCCTCAGGAACAAAATGTAAACATTGATTATCTGCTGCTGTAGAATGCAACAGGTGCATCTGTGATTGGTCTCATGTGGTTGTTTCTAATTAATGGCCAATCACAGTCAGCTGGCTCAGACTCTCTGAGCCACAACCCTTTGTTATCATTCTTTCTTTTTCTATCCTTAGCCAGCCTTCTGATGAAACCTTTTCTTCTATTCTTTTAGTATAGTTTTAATGTAATATATATCATAAAATAATAAATCAAGCCTTCTGAAACACGGAGTCACATCCTCATCTCCTCCCTCATCCCAAGACCCCTGTGAACACGGTCACAGGGATCCCCTTGGGGACTGTCATGGGACAGTGGGCAGGGTCTGGGCACTGCCCCCATCAGTCCCTGCCAGCTCCTCTGGGGCCGTGTTTGTCATGAGATGCACACAAGTGACAGTGACACTGCTCGTCCACCCCAGCACCCACCGTGATGGGGCTGCCCATCCCAGGGGGTTGGGGACCCCAAAAAAGCAAAATGGCAGCAGGATCCGGCCCACATATCTCTTCCTCTTTTTCAGCTGAGTAAGGAGGCAGAGACAGAGACATCTCCCAAACTATTGTTTGCGCTTTGCAGGTGTTTTATAGATGGAGGAAGCCCCAAATTTCTAGGGGTAAAATTTCATTTCTAGGGGTAAAATGGCAGCAGGATCTGGCCCACATAGCTCTTCCTCTTTTTCAGCTGTTCCCATGCTGGGTAAGGAGGCAGAGACAGAGACACCTCCCAAAGTATTGTTTGGGCTTTGCAGGTGTATTACAGATGGAGGAAGCCCCAAATTTCTAGGGGTAAAATTGCATTTCTAGGGGTAAAATTGCACTGAGGAAGGTCTGGTACCCCTCCCTCAGCGTTCAGAGCTGTCATGGTTTGAGAGCCCCACATCCAGCGAGGATCCTTGGGCACGGGGAGGGGACCCTGAGCCCCTCAGCAGCTCCCACCGGTGACCCCCAGCACCCGGTTAGACACGAACGTGCCGNTTGTGCCTCAGTTTCCCCAGGTGGGGATCTGTAGCCATGAAAATTTCTGAAAAATCCTTTCCTTAGGTCCCCTGTGGCTGCTGTTGGGTGACTCAGAAGGTTGTGCTGTGCCTGTGGTGGGTGACAGCAGCAGGAGGAGGTGCCCAGCTGCGATCTGACCTCCCAGACCCCACTCCACAAACACGAGAGGCTGCCAGGAGCAGGATCTGATTATTTCAGTGTTTTTCCTGCGGCTGTGCTGCCTGGAAAGCCCCAGGCAGGATCTGGCATTTCTGACACTACATCATCCTTAAAGCTGAACCACACCAAGAGGCAGACGGTGCTTTTTCCCTCTCCACCAGCCCACGGGGCACCTCCACACCCCATAACCCCTTCATGGGCTCCCCAAATCCCTCTGTGGGGCAGGAGGGGGGTGGGACAGAGCTCCCAGCACCGCTGTCTCACCCTTGACTTTGGAGATGAGGGTCCCAGCGGCCGTCAGGGTCTCCAGGGTGTTGAGCAGTGGATATTTATTGATGACCTGGCGCAGGATACGGAGGGTTTCACCCAGGCACTCGTGGGCCAGCGGCCTCTGGGGCTCCTTGGGGTCTGCAAGAGAGGGGGGCTGAGGTGCTGCATCCTTGTGCCACGTCCCTGCCCTGTGTCCCTGCCCCCTGGTGTCACATCTTTTAATGAAAAATCCTTTCCTTAGGATTTTTCCTCCTGAGAAGCCTCAGGAACAAAATGTAAACATTGATTATCTGCTGCTGTAGAATGCAACAGGTGCATCTGTGATTGGTCTCATGTGGTTGTTTCTAATTAATGGCCAATCACAGTCAGCTGGCTTGGACTCTCTGTCCGAGCCACAAACCTTGGTTATCATTCTTTCTTTTTCTATCCTTAGCCAGCCTTCTGATGAAACCTTTTCTTCTATTCTTTTAGTATAGTTTTAATGTAATATATATCATAAAATAATAAATCAAGCCTTCTGAAACGTGGAGTCAGATCCTCATCTCTTCCCTCATCCTCAGACCCGTGTGAACACGGTCACACCCTGGCACTGCTCTGCATCCCTGTGTCCCTTCCCTGTTTACCTCCCAGCCACATCCAAGGCAGGGATCTGCCATCTCCCAGATTATTCAGCAAATTCCCCTTGGCCTCAGGGCTGTCCCAGGACTGGCACAGCCACATCCTGCTTGTCCTGCACCTCCCCACATCCTGGCCCTGTGTCTCCTGCCCAGCCTGGTACTGGCCAGGGGGCAGTCTGACCTTTGAAGCATTTTTCCCCTCCATAGTAACTTTTCCCCTCGAAAGCAGTTTGGGAATTTCCTCCATTTCCTTCCCTCCCTCCTGCCGGATGGACGCTCCCAGGGACAGGATCGGCCTGGTCCAGCCAGGCTTGTTGCATGCCACAGGTTCCCCCCATTCTGTGGGGGTCTGGCCAGGACCCCCCAGTGCAGGTCTAGGGCTGGTTGGGAAGTTTTGGGAGGGGGGATCAGCACCCACTGCCCACCCAGGCAAAGACCCCTCCCCAGCTCAGCGTTGGAAAGGGATTTCTGCAAAACCAGCACTGACAATGCGGTGTCAAACACCCGCAGACTGCAGGATTGATACATCCCTGTGTCCCCTCGGGCAA